AGCGTCGTTGGGGGCTTGAGTGGGGGGGCTATGGGCTTCATTATCGCTAACTTTCCTGGAGCTATAGCAGGAGCAGTTGCAGGAAATAGGCTAGGAGCTGTGCGGGACGCAAGAGGCAAGAGTGTGTATGCGGTTTTTAACGAACTGCCGCAGGCGGACAAGGCCAAATTGTTGGGTGACCTTGCGGCAAAGGTCTTTGCGCATGCAGTTAAATCGTAAGGTGGGGAACGGAGACGGGGTTTAGAATTATGGTTCTGTATCGCAGATCATGACTTGGAAGAGCAGGCGACAGTTGCAATGATATCCAGCGTTTCCTTTAACGGAGTTGGTCTCTGAGGTACTTATCTATAGCGTAAACTACAACGAATTTCACCCAGTGAGCCTAGGTAATACTACGTTCTAGATAGGCATTTTATTACATTGTCATTAGAGCACACGCAGACTATAACTTACCTGGGTTCTTACCTATCAATAACTCCAGCTCTTCTTAGGTATCTAGGCAGCTCTGGGTGTTACTTGTTGGCGTGTCATCCTCCACGGCTGTCAACATGCCAATGTCTGCCAAGCTGCCTGTTGAAATTAAGCTCAACACCATCCATGGATGTCCAACCACATCTCCGAATCCCAGCCCTGTCATCCACTAGATCTCTCGATACTGAGCTCACAAACCTCCAAACTCCAATCCAATATCGATATTAATTACTCATAAAGTTCAATCGACACCATGTCAATACGCCGCAAGTCACTCCTCATCGGCATTAGTACGCCAACCCCTCTTCTCCCTCAAGCCTCGCTGATGACTTACGTAGAGCAGACTACACCGGCTCTCAGCACGCACTGCAGGGTTGCCACCAAGATGTGCATAATATGATCGATTTCCTTCAGTCAAGAGGTAGCGTATACCTATCAACGCCGCCGTTCTAGAGTACAAATACCTGACTACCACAGGCTACCCTTCCGACCCCGGCTCAATGGTTGTTCTCGCCGACGACCGCGACCCACGGGGAATGTTCTTTCCAACCGGCCGTAACATCCTCAGTGCCATGGACTGGCTCGTCTCCGAACCGAATACCTGCTGCTTCCTCCACTATTCCGGCCACGGAGGCCAAGTCAGAGACCCGGATGGCGACCGCGACTCGGGCTTCGATGACACAATCGTACCCGTAGATTTCGAGACAAATGGTCAAATCGACAGCGACACGCTTCACAGGCACTTGGTAACAGCATTACACCCGACCTCGACGCTATTCGTGGTGTTTGATTGCTGCCACTCCGGTTCAGCGATCGAGCTCCCCTTCGTCTATCGGACCGATGAGTACGGTAATGTGAACCTAGTCGACAACGTTAAGCAAGGCATCCACCTCATCAGCGCCGCCTCACACCTTATCCAAGGTGGCTTCTCCTACAACAAGGTCAATGATGCCCGCGAGCTGCTCGCAGGTGCAACGTCCTTCTTCAAATCGTTGCACCATATGGGCCAACCTCAACAGGAAGGTCTAGGTTCGTCGTTTCCTTAATCTCCTAGTTTATTTCTCTTTGGGTACTGATAATCACGACATAGGCGAAGAGCATTTTGTTGAAGACTGGGCGCACGAAGGCAAACGCGTCTTCATGTACTCCGGCTGCCGCGACGACCAAACCTCCGCCGATGCCGCAATCTCCGGCTCACACGTCGGGGCAATGAGCTGGGCCTTCCTACAAGCCATGAGAGAGTCGGGTGGATCACGGGGATACCAAGGCGCCCAGCAGAGCTACGTCGACATTTTACAAAACACGCGACGCTTCTTGCAGGGCAAGTACAAACAGGTACCCCAACTGAGCGTGGGTGTGCAGATGGACTTGAACCAGCCATTGAGGATATAAAATGATAATTGTGGAAACTCGCGGTAAACTTGGAATTGAGCCGATTGGGAGGATGATGCATGGGGAGAATGTTGCAAACATAATGACTATCTTGGGACTTCCACTATTACATCTTCCAGAGGTGTCACCAGTCAGCATCGGGCCACTCTTATGGATTATTCACTAGGCGAGAGATGTTGGCGACTTCGCGATTGGAACCCGCATTCAATAGATTACAGATGCTCCTCTTCCCTCTTTCCAACCACTTCTCCTCAATTAACTGAGCACCAATGCAAATAATCCGAAAATGTCTCCGACCGTCCACCATAGACCGTTCACCTCTGCTTTGCCCCCGCACTGGGACTTTTTCATCGACCGGAAATGTACGCACGGCTCGAGTAGAAGGAGAAGTGCGGCACGTAAATGATCGCATATGCATGCAGCGAAGAAGAAATCGCTGGTTGAGGGATTTAGAGGTGGAATAAGGGCCCTAGGCGCAGTTGCGAAATTGAAAATCTCGGTGCTGGATCTGGTGATTCTCCACCATGCCAAAATATAATGTCTGGAATGGTATCTTCTCCTTTCGGGAGCAACCTGTCAAAAGAAGGAAGAGGGTTATACAAAGCACACTTCTTCGTCACACAGCATAGAGAACTACAATACGTCTCGCACGATGCATATTCTACTCCCCAGCTCTTCCCCTCTTCACTCAGACTCGTTCAAGGATGTCCTTGCAACTGTCAAGCGCGTTCGTTTCCACTGTCGAGGGATTCTTTAGACCCTACATCGTGTCTCCGATCGTATATCGCGATATCGATCCGGTGCAGATATACCGCCTGAATTCACTGGAAGCGAGTGTTAAAGAAACCGGTGTTCTGGAAAGGTGAACCGGCCGACAACTTCTTTCCATTCCTTGTCGTGGGGTAAAGATTTCTATCCAAGTGGATGTGTTGCGCCATCGTGAAGTCTTTGACTCTGTCTCCACCGCTACTTTGACTTTAGGAGCTTGCCGGTCTTATTTGTCGGTATAGCATTGTTGTTGAAAGAAAGCTTGCTATAGTGCTCTTTAATCGCTCTTGTTACATGGGCGAAACAAGTTGAAAAACACCTGGGAGGCCTTTAGGCGAGCATCGTTCCTCCAGCGTCTGAATAGGGACGGTTATTTTTGAGGTATTATGTCTATGCCACATTCCAGGTATACGTGAAAGGTAAATCTCAGACGAGTACGTTTTGAGCGCTTGAGGTGAACCTCTTCAATTACATACTTCACTAATGTCTTCGCGGCTCCTTGGTACCGGTAACGGTAATGTTAAAAATTGTAATTGTTAGACTTGCTGCACTCAGGTTTTAAAAAACAGCTTCATTCCAGACACGGGTACCTCGTGGAAGCTTACCACCCCATGTTTCCGCAGTTATGAAAACGTGTTGCCTAATTAACGCAGGACGCCTTCAAGGTCGCTGCCGATCTCGGGAAGGGTTGATGAATGTCGATAACCGAAACCTATTCTCGACGCTACTAAATCGGCAAGGATCGACTTCAACCCTAATGGTAACAAAATGCTCAGAGTGTGGACGCACGGGACTACGGGATATGGAACGAAAATACTGGAGTAAGAGTCGGAAGTTTTGCGTTGCCCACCAGAGCTACGTATATTCCTCTAAAAAAGGCACTAAAGCGTCTCGAAGAATAATAAAATTAAAAATTGAACACCGGTACCCGGGAATTAAACCGGAGTCCCATGCTTTGTCATCGTTAGTTAGGTGATCAATTTTTTAAGTCAGCACTATCTATATCTCGTGGAGAGAGGCCGGCGGAACGGACAAGAAGCCCAGGTGTAAGGACGACCATCGATACCACACAAAGGCACGTGTGTAAGTCACTCTCCTGCGGCGGAAGGAAAAGACATTTGTCCATTGGAATGAGACGATTGGATTTACCACCACGAAATGGTCCGAGTCGAAGCGGAAGGGTTGAGGGTGGGCGTTGAATATGAGGGACGATTGAGGCTTCAATAGCTGCGCCAGTTGGCGCCGGTTACATTTGGTTGTGGATATCCGGATATTGTCGAACAAAGCCCATAGGTTCTTTGTATTCTACCTTCTGAATGGCTTTGATGAGATTAGAGGTGAAAGGGGGGCACAGATGCACCCCTTCTGACATAGAGGCCCTGGTTCAAGTACCACAGACTAATCGTAGATTAATAACTAAATTTACAAGAAACGTTCAGTTAAGGGGTGAAAGAGGCGCCTTCAATAGCTGTTGTAAATGTACATCGTAAATCGGACTAAAGGGTAGGTGAGCATTATTACGTAGTGATGGTAGGCTGAAGCCACTCAGAGCACAAAAGGACAGCGCTATTTTAGTACTTGGGTTAGGAATTGAAAGACCAACAGCCCGGCCAAATCCTAAAATTCATGATAGAGCAGGACTAGCTGAGATCAATAGTACAGGTGCCTTCAACCAGCACCCTATCTTTCAGTACAGCTGAGGCAACTTTGGCGATTTCTCCTTGGAACTTCTCAAGTTCGGTCTCATAGTCAAGTGAGTCTCTTTTCCCCTTCACCATGATCTACCGCATTGTATGCTGCCTGTGAGAAGTGACCATCCATCGATTCCAGTTGAGGCTGATAAGGTGTATGGTGAACGGTATTGCGGTCTTGTTCCTAGTGATTGTATTCATTTCCCATTGTTCAAATAGCGCGCATGGCGAGGTTTGAAAGGTCGTTGTCTACCGTGAGAGGCTCAAGGATATCCAACGAGCCCATGACGTACTCCAGGCTCATCGAAGGAGGCATGAAGTTCCAGTAACTCCGCTAATTAAGGGGAATCAAAATGTTCCTACAGATGGGAAGATGCAAGAAGGGGTGGCGTCGGAGCAGTTCTTGCGGATGCACGTTGCAGCCTCGAACTACAAACTTCAATACAAGAGGTCTGTGGTGGAAAATTTCCGATTAGACAGGCCATTGTAGTGGTTCATTTGAGGCAGGGGTTGAGCCAAAAGCTTTAGAGTTGTTACGTACCTTCGTAATTGTAGCAAACTACTATTCGGCCGCTGATGCGCCTGCAACTTTGTTGACGTTCGCGTACTCAATTTTATGTGTCGGATTTTGTATATACTTTATATATTACTTAATTTCACGACAATCCAAATTAAACGGGTTGTGTAGTGTAGGGGTTATCACATCGGATTCTGATTTGAGAGAATCTTGTAAGTTTGGTTCAAAGTTTGAAATTTGAAATGAAATGGGTTAGCTAACATTGGCACAGCCGGGGACCCCGGTTCGATTCCGGGCACGACCTTCATCTTTTTTTTTTTCTTTCATTTTATATATGTACTGGTTCTGCATTTTTCATATTTGAAGGTCATATTTTGAGGAACATATTTTTTTTGGCAGAGAGAACGCCAGTAAACCTTAACCTGTGCTTTAGGGCATTTCTTTTACTTCCTAGATGCATTTCATCTTATCCACTTTTCAACTCAGATAAAACCTTGAACCTGTAGCTATGCAGTTAATTCGACTGAGGATTTTTGTTGTATTTCCGGCTTATATTACCGAGCACCAAATATTCTTTGGAGTAAACTTCATTGAATTGCTTTGGAAATTTAAACCGCCTAATATTTAGGCAATCTGCATCCTCGCGGTCAATATATTTTTGGAGTTCGGAGAATGGCGTGGAGGCAATCTTTCACATGAACCCTCATCTGCAACATTCCATACTAAGTAGCAGACGTTGCAAATTATATCTTAATCGGCCCTGTTTATGTGATAAATTACATTTCAGGTGCAGTATAATATAGTTTCTTTGAATTGATAAAATATACAATAAATATAAATGCCGAGGTTTCTAAATACGAAAATGTCGTTCAACCCTCAAATACTAAGTCAAGCTAGTGGGGTACATTCGATATTTTAAGACCACCTGGGGGTTGTTTAACTCATGCATTTACACTAATCTCAATTTCCTCAACTACTACTTCTGTTAGCATATCCATGTCCCTTTTGCTTTGGGGGGAGGTTTGAAGTACTATTGCTCATTTGCTCTTCGGGATATTTTCTGTCCTGGTCTGCTTTCAAGCACGGCAAAGGCCTTTGCTCCTCAGCTAAGCCATCCACCAGTGTCTGGTGCATTTATGACATTTTCTGCGGTCGACGACGTCTTTTCGTGTTGGACCAAACTCAGAGTGTATATCCACCCCATAATAATTCGAAAGACTCGGAGCTCCACCTCTCCCAAGGTTACCGCATTCTCGCTGACCTGACCAGTACCAAATGAGATCTCGGTGGTCATAGAAAGGTGAGGCTTCGTCACCGACACGGATTATGACAAACCCCGAGTTACATATCCTCCTGAACCGAAACCGGTTAACTTTGTCGATGATGGCTACGTGAGAGCGCAGGACATGCCACATGGACGATCGGGATTGAAGTCTGGCGTTACGCTGTTTACAAGTTTGGGAAGACATTCGGGCAGTCGTACAAAATATAATGCGACGGGCGCTGGGTTTCTGATAGATTGAGCTCAGGCACGCCGTGAGGGGCCAGGAGTTCGCAATATCAGGCGGACCTACGGACCTCTACCAAGCCTTGGAGAATTCCACCCTTGGATCCATCAAACGGGAGATCAACGGCCAATCAACACCAATACCGGAAGCCATACCATCAAAACTGTGCATATTATCAAGACACTGTCATTGAAATGCTCGTGGGAGCCCACATCGAAGGCATTCCCTTCCGCTAGGTGATAGTATGGTCTTCGTGTTCATCGACGTGCAGAGGGCATGTTACGGGGCCTTGTTTGAAGTCTAGTCACAGAAAAAAGAGGCACTGGCGTTGATGTGTTCTTTAGGACATCGGCAAAACTCCTGGGTGCTCAGGTTTTCCACGCAATACTCCGGGCGATGGTCAAAGCTTAGACAGCAAGCCTGTCAATGATAGTCGTTATACTTTCAGATAGACTCGTTCTCTAGTTTCATATACAATCTAAAATAGGGCTGTACCCCCATCTAATACACCGAGCAATGCATCCGCGCCCTTAAAAATGCCTGTGCAAAAAGCTCCTGCATCGCCGAGTAGTGAAATAAGATCCCACTAAGCACGGCGACATGCCAGATATTATGGCTACCTCCGACGTAGTCGAACATGCCTGGGAACCAGCGCTCTGGTATTTTGCTGGCATATAAGACTGCACCCGCAAGATATACTAGGATGCTCTTGGTGACTGGGGCATAGAAATATGCCGCCCAGTAGAGACCCCGGGTAAAGGCTAATTGGAAAATAGGAAGGAAGCCGGTTGCAGCAAGCGCGACGTAGAAAAGCACACGCGCCCATGCCATGTCCCGCCGGTTGAAAGTAGGATGCCATGGGAGTATGACACCACCGATCCCCAATCCAGCCGTCAGGAGCATGTAGATCCATCGGCTTGTAGGCTCACAGTAGAAAGCAGTATATTCTGTGGTCATGATGGATGCAGCGACGAGGAGCGAAATGCCTGTGTAGTCGACGCAGGCGAAGCGTTCCAGAAGCGTTTGGTGTGAGATGGAGTTCATTGTATGCCATATTGTTGAGCAAACCAGGCACTTACAAGCTGCGAAGAAGAACACGGCCGCGATGAAGACGTCCGCATTGGTGGAGTGGGAGAAATTAACACTTGCTGGATAGAAATAGAAGGCGACGGCTAAGACCATGATGAATCCAATAGCGTGAGACCAGATGTTGAATAGTTCATTGTGTAAGCTGAGAGCAGATCGCACACAATCCAGCTTGCCCTCGTGGAAACGGTATCCTCGGAGAATATGCGGGTTGATCCTCCATGGATCCGGCAAATCCTCGTACTTGATAAGGCCATGTTGCCGGGCTCGGTCCAGTGCTCGCTCGACAGCATGCTCAATAGTTTCCTTTGCTCTTCTGGCCTTGTCCAAACCCTCGTCCACCACTTCTCTTGCCTTGCCGAAGCTCTCATCTACCCGGCGCCAACCTTGGTCAAGGAAGTTGTTGGCTACCGAGCCTATGCCGGCATCCCGCACAGCGTATGCGCGAGCTTCAAACTCCCCTAGAAATGACTCCATCAACCGCACACCTTCTTGGACTTTCTGTTCTAGGGTATCTTTCGTTGCCAATGCCTCTTTATACCTCTCTTCGAGTGTATCCACCAGAACGCTTGCCCGCCGCCTTCCGGCATCGATGACGCCATCAGATATTTTAGAACACGATTCGCGGACGGCAAGGAGTGTGGAGTATGCTCGTTCGATCCCGGCATCTAAGTTTAATTGTCCATATGATTCAAGAAAGTCCAGTCGCCTTCCAAGCTCGGCAAGGAACCGGTCGACCTGTTCGCACACGTTAGAACCGTAATTTCCCGGTAAATTGATTGGATATTCTTCATACCAAAATCTGAACATTGTCATGATCAACCGTCCACGGTCTTGACTGGTTTGTATGATATGAAGAATGGCGTCGCCGCCTGTTCTCGCAGCTGAAGGTCCCATAGTTGGAGCGGCGCAGAACCGGCTCCTCGTAGCACTCAGTCATGACTGCGGTTGAAGAACAAGACATGGCGGCGATATAAACAAGATACCAAGACCAGGTGCCTGTGATAGGCGTGACTTGTGTGGTAAGAGGGGTCGTCCGCTCGCAGTTCAGTACGCAAATTGTGGTGGCTGACAATTGGGCGTGCGATGACCGGTTGCGGTGATTGGGCGCAAGATGAAGTGATTTACAGATGAGAAGGGCGAAAACGAAGAGTTAGAAAGTTGCTGTAGGGACAGTAGAGTAAAGCTGGAAGGGAAACAATTGCCCACGTGGGAGATATTTGAAAGTTAGTGGGTGAACAGGTCAGCGGCATAGAGCAGCTGGGCAGAACGAATCTTCGGACCTTGTTCTCGGCTCAGATAAGAGGCGAACAAAAAGACCCTGCGATGTGCATCTGCATAACACAGCACAACACTAATAGTTGGCCAACATGTGATGGGCCTGGCTCTTGAATCGCTCAGCACCAGAGGGAGCATCTCATCAGGTTTGCTACGAGTATATGTTTATTTGATCGTTATCTATGAACTTGTTGAGAAGATGTCTACTCTAGCAGTGTACCTGTCGCGAACCCTCCAGCACGCCATCTCCTTGTTGAATCCTCATCTACCACTTGATGCCCAATAGCAATTTTCTTTCAGCCGGTCGAAGACTTCATTACCGCTTTCCGATTTAAGTGTTTGATTTCCCTTGATTGCATTGCTTAGCCTTTCTTGCAGAGAGTCTAAGGCGTCTATAGACCCCGGGCAATCGGAATCGTAGTAGTCTCTCTGCATTTTGATTATCAGCTTGCTCACTTTCCCTTTAAGCCTCTAAGACAGAGTACACAATTTCTCTGCGATTCTCGAGATGTCTGGCATGGAATCCCCATGGTGACCACGAACCTTGACATCTATCCGCAGCTCTGTCAGCGCCAGTCCAGAATGAGTAGCAACGAATTTGGTCAGCTCCTCATGAAAAGTAAGATCACTGACCGAAGGCGCTTCCCAGCCCCAGATATCTCAAGTTCCACTGAGATTTACAGGCGACGGATCCGTTCCAAGGGTAGTGAGCGCTCCGGACTGGATTGGGGGTGAAGAGCATCAGAATAGTCCAACACATCTTTAGAATGCCAATTGTAATAATAATCGGCGCTAACCGGTGCCTCCCTGCCAAACAAATCCAACACTTCCATTTAGATTTGCTTATTCACCAGGACAAAACTGATAGGATCGTCGCGATGTGACGGGAACCTTCTCCAATAGGTCACAGCCCAGAGAACGAAATAGTTGAATCTCAAGGAAGATGCCCGGCCGGGCAAACCCACTTCATTACGAAATTGGAAATATGATTTACACCTCCAGCCCTGGAGAGATCTCTCTAAATTCCTCTACGAGACATCTTCCCTAACCTACGCCCGCGTTTTCCGGCTCCATTTTTAACAATTCACTGTTCTTTATTTCGGGAACAGGTCAGTGCAGAATTCTGTTCTTCATCTCCTCCGCCCTTTTAGTCAAAAAATCGTAGATCATATCCCCAGCTTGACGCACTCCATTTCCAAGATCCACATCATGCTCCTGAAGATCAACTGCCTCCACCATTTTGTGAAGCCAACAGAAGGACTGTAGGGCATTCGAATGCCATATTTTCGCGATCCCACGCGGCCCCAAGAACATGCAACTTCTTTCGAGGCGCACTTTGATCATAAATTTCTTCCAGTCCTGAGTCGTATAAGATGGGATTTGCGTCGTCATTTCCAGGCGTAAATCCATTCGAGCGTGGATTTCACTGCTT